AAAATCTGGTGGTTTTGTCTAGTAGAAACAAAAACCAGTAGGTACACAAAGTGATAATAATGGATGCCAGCAAATGCAAGATTTTCCTAGCAGTCATTCAGAAAACAATGCTAAGAACATTATCAAAAGTGGCATATTTTCTCCAAAGAGCTCAAAATGCTTTCACGTTGTTTTCCAGATAGGTTACACTGTTATCTGCACTCTGTCAATGATTCTTCTGTGTTAAAGTGTGGTGCTTCCTCTTATCATTACCAGCTTTCACAGATTTTATGGCTTGTGATGTCTGCTCTCACTGTTCTTAACGACCACGCTTTGCTTATTGACACCAGGAGGGTGACTGCCATCTGTACCAACACTATCAGAGCTGCTCAGACATCTTCATTTTACATTCTGTTGTGCTAGTGTTTGAGTGGGGGTGGAGGGGAACAAGTACAAAGCAGATAAATAATAGTGAGAAACATTGAGAGGGAAAGGAGAGGTTTCTGTTAAATGGTGGGAATAGGTTAGAAGATACATTTTTGCTCAGTTATTCACACACCTTGGAGCCCATCTCTTCTGGGTTATTACAAAGCAGTCCACAAATCCCACTCAGAGAGAATATGACTACATCCTAGTCACAGAGAGAGATGAAGAATGGGTAACAAGATATTACCACGTCATAATCTAGGTGAAGAGTATTTGGGTGGCTCACTGTTCTTTCAGTTTTTCGGTGGGTTTGATTTTTTTTAAAAACAAAAAATAAAATTTTAAAAAGCATCATAAAATTAAAAATAACTGGAAAAACATTTGCAGCAGATATGATATAAAAATTAATAATAGTCTTAAGTACAAAGAGCTCTTGACAACAAAAAATACTTGACATAGACAAAAGGATATCAACAGAGAAATGCAAACAGCCAGTATATATATGAAAAATATTAAACCAGGAAAATGCACATTAAACAATATATTACTACTACTTTTTCTTTACAACTGGCAAAACAGATCACTTAAACTACCCTAATACTTAGTGCTCATGAGCGGGCAGCAGGATGGCCATACTTTTCTATTACTGATGGAGGCATAAAGTTCTTAAAGGCAATTTTTTCAAAATATGTGAAATTTTTTAAATTATTATTTTTAATTTAGTAGTTATACCTTTAGGAATTTATCCTAGGAAATAAGGAGCCATACAGGAATCTCTGTATAAGTTTATTTATTTCAGTGTTATATCTAATACCAATAAATTTTGAAAATACCTTAAATGTTAACAGTAAAATAATGATTAAATCTATAATATGTTTATATGTGTATTATATATCTACTAAAGTAAATATTGTCCAATAAGTTTTAATGACCTAGAAAAACTCTCACAGTATATGTTGAGGGAAGGGAAAGCAGGATACAATGTTATATCTCAATGTAAAGTCACTTATAAATACATAATTCATGGAAGAAAAAGGCTTCATAGGAAATATACTAAGATTGGGAAGGGTCTGGGCAGAGGGGAGGAAAGGGGGGAAATGGGAGACATATGTAATACTGTCTCTCTCTCTATATATATTAATAGGATAATATGCAAATTGGTCGGGACACTGTCATATAATGACGGATAAGCAGGCTGCATCCCCACCCCCTGCGCTGACCTGGAGACATGAAGCTTGCGTCCCCACCCCCGCAATGGGCCCCGGGACGTGAGGCTCGTGTCCCCGCCCCCCTGCGCTGGCCTGGGGGTCCGCAGGCGCGTGGGGATCCACAGGCGTGCGGAGGTCCGCAGGCCTTTGCCATGGCCTGGCCCAGGGGTCCACAGGCCTCCCCTGGCTCTGGCCTACCTCTTTGGGGCAATTCATTGAGGAGCCCTGTATGGGTGGGTGGGGCCTACCTCTTTGGGGCGATGGATCGCGGGGCTCCCGCACTGTGACAGGGCACAGGCCAGGCTGGGGGACACCCCCCCCCCCAGTGCACAAATTTTGTGCACCGGGCCGCCAGGATATATATATATATATATATATATATATATATATATATATATCAAGTTTCATTTCTAGGAAGATGATGTAGACATACCCTATTCCTTCTTCTAAGTACAGCTAAAATCCCTGGACATTATGTATATAACAAAGTTAAGAAGACTTTGAAGGATGGAGAGGAGGTACACCAGTCAGGAACCTTGGGACACAAGGAGGAACATGGTGGTGAGGTCCCTGGGTTTTCTTTTTGCTTCATATATCCCATAAGTGACCTGTATCATTTTCCTTTCTCTAAAGAATTTCTTTTAACATTTCTTGCAAGACAGGTTTCAGTTTTTGTTCATCTGAGAACATCATTATTTCCCCTTCATTTTTGAAGGATAATTTCACTGGAGACAGAATTCCAGGTTAGTGGGTTTTTTCTTCCCATCCTTCCAGTCTCTTCTTGCTGGCATGGTTTATGAAGAGAAGTTCAATGTAATTCTCATCCTTGTTCTTCTATAGGTAAGTTAGATTTAATTTTCCCACAGTTCCTGGATATTCTGTTCTGTTTGTTTAGTCCTTTTTCTCCTTGCATATCAGTTTTGGAATTTATATTGACATTTCTTCAAGCTCACTGATTCATTCTTTGGTTGTATCCTTGATAATCCTATCAAAGGCAATCTTTATTTCTTAGAGTGTTTTTTATTTCTAGCATTTCCTTTTGTTTCTTAGAGTTTTTTTTATCTCTTTGCTTACATTACCCATCTGTTCTTGCAAGTTGTCCACTTTTCCTATTAGAGCTCTTAGCATATTAATCTTGGTTATTTTAAATTCCAAAATCTATGTTATATTTGAATCTGATGCTTGCTTTGTCTCTTCAGACTTTTTTTAAAAAAATTGATTTCAGAGAGAGGGAGGAAAGAGAGAAAAGAAGAGAGGGAGGGCAGGAGGGAGGGAGAGAGAGAGAGAGAGAGAGAGAGAGAGAGAGAGAGAGAGAGAGAAATTGATCACTTCCACATGCACCCCAAGCGGGGAATGAACCCACAACTCAGACATGTGTCCTGACCAGGAATCAAACCCACTGCCTTCTAGTGTACAAGATGACACTCCAACCAACCAAGCCACACCAGCAAGAGCCAAACATTTTTTCTTGCCTTTTAGCATGCCTTGTCATTTTTTTGTTGATGTATTAGGTAATAGGAATAGAGATAAATAGGCCTTCATGTGTTTACTGTCTGCTGTAACTGTAGGTGTCTGAGGCTTCCATGTCCTCCACTATCCGTTTTGTCTTCCCTGTTGTCTTTGGATTTCCCTAGAAACTCCTTCCTAAATGGAGTCTGCACCTTGCATAGTCCTCTATAGATACAGTGTGTATTGGAGGGAAGCATTTGATAATCCTGTGATTAGGTCGCAGTCTGTTAGTAGATCTATGTCCCTGGATTGTTACCTTCACAAGTTTTTCTCAGCATTTTACTCCTTATTTGAGACAGGAAGACTGAGGAGGTTGGAGTTAGCTAACTGCCCTTCCTCAGGTCAGATAAGGCTTCGGTAAAAGAGTTTTCCTTGAGAGCTTGCCTTTATTACAGAGAACTGAACAAAGAACAGCATTCTCTGGGAGTATTTTGAAATGGTTTATTTTCCCTTCTCTCTGCTGGTAGCAGGAGGGGATTTTTCTCTGTTGTTTACCATGAGACCAGGTGGGGCTCCTGGAGGTAAAACGCATGAAAGTAGGGCCCTCCCTAAGACCTGGCCCCTTGGAGTTTTTAACTTTTCAAGCTAATTCATAGAGCCTCTAGGGATCTGTCAATTGGAGTTAAAGTGCGCTTGCCAGTACCAGCTTCAGCAGCAGGCTTCCGCTCTTGGTCTTTCTCCACCTCTCTCTAGTGTGCTGGGCAGCAGCAGTTCTATGATCTAAATTCTCTGATGGATCCAAGATGAGTTGTTTTTCGATTTGTTCACCTTTTCTTGTTGTTGTACATCTAAGCTCTCTACATGTTGGGGTGAAACCAGAAGTCCATAAATTACTTTCTAATGATAATTTGGCACAAGTGGATATCATAGTAGAATCAAGAGATTGAGATTTATTGATCTTAATTATGTTGACCATTTTAAAGAACTGCTTTTAAATTAAAAACGTTAAGACATACATAGACTCATTCTTACAACTTTATTTTGTTTTACATTGGTCTTTCATGGAACTGCCCACTGCTTAATAAGAAGGATCTGTAACTATCTTTGATTTTTAAATCTTTGTAATTACATTAAATAGTAGAGGTTTAAAGAATATAAGTATGAACTGCTTTGGGGATCAGCATTTTAGATATATTTAACATTGGCTACCCTGTGATTTGATTTTATTAAAGAAAGTACAGCATATTGTGTTTTTCTTTACCAAGAAATGCTTTATAGTTCAGTAATTATGTCATTTGTGCATCATCTAAACTCAGCCAGACATAGAGATTTGTATTCATGCTATAATGGTCTTTATCAGACTTGGAAGTTCATATGCTTAATAAACAACTGCAGTTTTATACTGATAAAAATGCTAAAAATTGGTCTAATTTATTATAATTACCAAGAGAATATTTCCTGTAAAATCTAATTGATATTCTGTTCTCAAAACTATGATGCATTGTTCTTAAATTATAATTTGTGAAGCTTTTAAGATAGCAAATTTGATTTGAAATTATTATTTTTCTTTAGGTTGATTCCAACTGTAATTGATCAGAAATTATTTATTTTCCCTTTGGAATCTGAGGGTAAACTTTGGCCACCCCAAAGACAGTGTGTATTTCCACATGCCTTTCCAAGAACAAAGGTAGGAATAGAGAAATCTATAGAAACAGAGTAATTAGTGGTTTGCTAGAGGCTGGGAGGAAGGGTGAAGGGGAGTGACTCTAATGAGTACCAAGTTTCTTTGAGGATGATAAAAAATGTTCTGGAATTCGATAGTGGTGACAGCTGCACAACTCTGTGTCTGTACTAAACACCGTCCAGTTGTGCTCTTTACAAAGGAGATTTTAAAGTATACGAATTATATCTCAATAAGGCGGTTAGAAAAAAAGTTAAGAGTAAAGTTAGGAAATTTGATTTGTGTCTAAGTGAGAAAACATGTCATTGTTTTTTCAGATATATTCATGGTATGGTCAGTTTCTCTGACAAGTGCTTTCTTCAGAAAGCAAAATAAATCAGAACAGAATGCCTTCAAATTTTTAAACAGAGTCCTAGAAAGAAAGTTTCCAGGTGGCAAGAATAAAGCTCAAGAGGTGTCTGACTTTGCCTCCTTGGGGTGGTCTTTTAAATTTTCTCCTGTTTCCTCCCTGACTCACCAAAGGTAATAATAGCTCCCTTCCCTTCAGTACCAGGTACTGTTGTCAGTGCTTTGGGAATACTAACTCGTTTAACCTTCAGAATGGACCTAGGATGAGGTGTTGTTATCATTACCTTAATTTTATTGATGAAGAAACCAAGGTACAGAATGTTAAAGAAACTGCACCCTCTTGCAATCTGGGATCCCTCGGGGGATGTCAGAGAGCCGGTTTCGGCCCAATCCCCGCAGGCCAGGCCAAGGGACCCACTGGTGCACAAATCCATGCACCGGGTCTCTAGTATGCATATAAGATCTTTGGTTAATCTCTTCCTGCCCTCCCCCCTTCCCATGAGATTCATCAGTCTGCTCCATGTTTCCATGCCTGTGTGTTGAGCATTTGCCCCTTGGTGGTCATTGTGCATCATACCTACCGGCTGGTCGGCTGATCAGCCTGTCGCTTAGGCTTTTATATAGATAGATAGATAGATAATTTATATACTATAAAATTCACCCTTTTAAAAACTATTTAATTCAGTCATTTTTAGTATATACACAAAATTGTACAGTCAACACATGGTATCCTTTTTATAATTGTTTATATTAACCTGTATTTTTCTTTCATCACACTTACCACAATTTGTAATTAGATATTAAGTTGTATGGTTATTTAAAATGTCTGTCTTTCCACTAGATTATAAGGAGGGCAGGATCCATGTCAGTTTGTTCATTGCTCTATAATTCTAGGGGACTCTTGATAAATGTTTGTTGAATAAATAAATGAAACCACCCCAGTAGGATCTAAGGGTGTACTTGTCCCCATAAAATACTAGTCCAGGCTACACTCCCAAAGCAGCCTACTCCCACCTTTGTCATTGTACTGGGTTTGTCCAGCCACTCCCTGTGGTGTATGTACACTGTGCCAGGGACTGTTAGAGCCACACGGGGATGAACAGCTTGGACTAGATCCCTACTTTCACAGAGCTTACTCTAGTTGAGGGAGGGGAGACAGCTCATTGATAAGAAAATGCCAGGTAATAATAAAGGCTTTGATGAAAAGAAAAGAGAATGCTGTGATAAATGGAGCTTAAACTTCTTTACAATTAAGTATCTGCTTCAGTTAAATTTGTATTTTTTTGCCAAGAATCTCAGGAGGACCACAGTTGGTCCACAAACGGGAGATTTGAGATCTCTGGTTTACAAAGACAATAAAGTAAAATATCTGAAATTAGGGCTGTTGTTGAATGTATAATCGCTTGATTCTTCCAGAAAAAAAAAATACCATGGCCAGAAATTTACTTTCCTGAAAGAGTTCTGAATCCTGATAAAGATAAGGAATCTAATGTGCTGAGTATAACCCCGGGTTCTTTGAAATGCTGTGAGCATGGGTGAGCTTCATTTAGAAAGGGCAAGGACTGGTTTCCCATCCCGATTTTACCTCTAGCGCCTGGATCCCTACTGCTGTTTTATCTCTAATATCAGTGACATCTGCTTAAAAATGCATAACCGCTGACATGAAGGATAGCCCTGATCTTGCATTGCAAAATCAATGACAAACAGTGCTGTTTTGCCAGCTGCTCCAGCAGGCCTACTGCACCAACTCAAAAGCTTGAAGTATTAAGCAGTTGTGAAATCCGACTGGGATATTATTACCTTTAATTGCCCACAGCCAACCTTTCAAACTAGGTAAACCCCAGTTGCTTCTTTAAGCTCTGGTTCTCCAAAGTTGATAGCAGTTTTTGGAATTCCATTTTACACCAACACACTTAAAGGAAAAACAATTAGGAATTGCTCCATTGTAATAAAGCATCATAATTAAGAATTGTTTATTAATTTTTACATTTGAAAAAGCCGTATTCTGATGGCTTGTGTAATTTAGCTCCCTATCAACACCAGCCTAAACCCTCTATGGGCACCTTGGGCACATGTACTCCTAACAGTCAAGGAAAGGGTTTGAAATAAAAACAAAAGATAAAGAAGAAGGAGGGAGAGAAGGAGAAAGGCTTATAGGCCAAGAAAGTATTTGATTTCCTTGTTGTGTCTGGCAAGTTAAGTCTGAAGGCAATTTGAAAATAGAAATTTCTAAACTGTTTAGATCAGAGGACCAGCTTGGAAACATGATATACTTGATATATTTGTGGAGCAGGGAAATAAAGCCATCTCACTGCTTGAGTTATTCTCTATATTAATTCATAAAATGGGTGCTTTATCAATGAAACACACAAAAACTGTGTGATTGAATATGATGCAGCCATGTGCATCACCTGTGTCTTAGATGGAAGAATCTTTAATTTTGTGATCTAAATGAGAAAGTGATTCTGATTCTCAAAATCTGATCAAAACAAAAGTTTTGAGGATATCTGACATGATCCTGTTAGAAATAAGGCGAGCCCCCAAGTTCAGGGGTCCTGGTAGAACACAGACCAGACTCGGGAGGCAAGCAGCAGGCAAACATCTTTCATGGTCTGGAAGCACATGCACACCGAGCAGGTGGGCTGCTCGGCTTTTTAATTCTGAAGCAGAAGCATGTGACCTGTCCCTCGCTCTTGATTGGAGCTCAGGCTCACAGTCTTTCCCGATTGGCTGATTCAAAGGGAGGGGTTGGCCTTTGCTGTTTCAAGAGGGCGCCCCCAGGAAGCTGCAAGCCATGCGGCCAACATGGCGGCTGCCAAGTCACGCAGCCCAAAATGAGGCTGTCTAAACCGTTCTTTGACAGAAAAGATGATTTGTTTATTCTCACAATCCACATGGTGAGAGAGCAAAGAAGGCAAAAGCCAGGGCCAGTAAGGGTTGCTTCAGAGGTTTTCCCTGTGAGTTCATGTCACTCAGCATCAGGGTGGATAAGTTTGCTGATGAGCAGGAGTTGGATTTTACAGAATGGAGTGGGGAGAAAGGAAGGCCTGCAATGAGCTGGCCACTGTGAGCTCTGTCTTCTCATTAGAATGTAAGCTCCATATCCCCCCCCTTTTTTTATGGCTTTAAAAAAAATCTTTTTATTATGAAAATATTCCAACAAATCAAGAATAGTGTATTAATAACCATTTCTCCTTCACCTAGATTTAACACTTTTATTGAAGTGTTTTAAAATATGGACCTAATGACATTTCACCCCTAATGCTTTAACATGCATCTCTAAAAATGAGCATATTCCTGCTTACCCACAATACCATTATCACATCTAAAATATATAAGAAATCCCTAGGTCATATTCAGATTTCCTCAATTATCTCCCAAATGGCTTCTACTGCTCTTTTTATGCAAACCCAGAACTGCTAAGGTTTTCCTTGCATTTGATTATTTTATTTCTTAAGTCTCTATTCATCTAAAGCAGAGAGACTATGTTTTGTTCACTGCAATACCCAGTGCCTAAACAGTGTCCAGCCTGGAATAGGATTGCAATAAATGACAACATACTGGTTAAAAGTATAGACTCACATCCTATACTTAGCAAGTCACCTAACCTCCCTGTGCCTCAGTTTCTTGCCCATAAAATAAGCATATTAATAGTACTTATCGACCTCATAGGGTTGTGTAAGGATAAATAAATTCACATATGTAAATGCTTATCACAGTGCCCCACACATGGTGCTATATAAGTGATAATTATTCTTATTATTTGTTGACGGATACTGGTTAACCTCTATTAGGTGCCTAATATGTGCCAGGCACAATTTTAGGCATCAGCCAAACTCCTCTGCTCTCATGCAGCTGACATTCTAGGTGGTGTGGGGTAGGCATTAGGAAAACCAAAAAATGACTTGAAAAGTAAATATATAGTACGTTGGTTGGTGAAAGAAAAGCTGGGAGGGGCGGGAAGGGTGTTGGAATGGTCTTGTTTGTAAGCGGATCCTTGAACAGAAATTTGATAGACATGAGGGGCAAGCCATTGGCCATTTGGAGGAAGAGCATTCCAGGCAGAGGAAACAGAAGATGCAAAGACCCTGGATTAGGAGTGTGAACAGCAGGGAAGCTGAAGAGGGATCGGCAAGGGGGAGAGAAGTAGGAACAGTAGAAGGGGGCCAGATCTTATGGACCACCGTGAGGACTATGGGTATTTCCTTGAGTGAGATGGGAAGCCGTTGGAGGACCAGAGGGCCGACATGGTCTGATTTGCAATTTTAAAGGGTCATTCTGGGTGTCGTGGTGAGAATATGATGATGTTACAGTGCAAGGGCAGAAGCAGGGAGACCATATCACACCCTCAACAACATTTTGAGGGAAGGAATTATTGGAATCCTCACTTTAAAGACGAGGAAACTGAGGTCTATGGATGATAGTAATTTAAAGCTAAGGAATAGGAGTACTGGGATTCAAATTCAGGTCTCTCTGGCCTCAAAGTCCTGGCTTTTCCTCACCACTGGAAAAAAAATACAAAAACTCGAGCTGTTTCCTGTGTTTGCCACAAAGAAATTTACAATTGAAGTAAAATAGATTCCTGATTTTGTCCACAAATGACTCTAACTATCCCCAGAATTATCCTCAGATCTGTCCCTCTAAACTTGCCCAACAAA